GCTCAGGTCATGATCCCAGGGTCCTGGGATCGAGTCCGGAGTAGGGCTCCCTGCTCAGCGGGAAGCCTGCTTCTCCTTCTCCCTCTGCTGCGCGCCCCTGCCCCCCTCCACTTGTGCTCTCTCTCAAACAAACAAATAAATAAATAAAGCTTTATTTTTTTACTTATAAAAAAGTGGCAGAGCATCCAGAATATATAAAGAACTCCTACAACTCAATAATAAAAAGAACCAATTTAAAAGTGGGCAAAAGGGGCGCCTGGGTGGCTCAGTCGTTTAGCGTCTGCCTTCGGCTCAGGTCATGGTCCCAGGGTCCTGGGATCGAGCCCCACATTGGGCTTTCTGCTCCGTGGGAGGCCTGCTTCTCCCTCTCCCTCTCCTCCTGCTTGTGTTCCCTCTCTCGCTGTGTCTCTCTCTGTCAAGTAAATAAATAAAATCTTAAAAAAAAAAAGTGGGCAAAAACCTGGAGTCAACATTTCTCCAGAGAGGATGTACACGTGGTCAATAAGCTCATGAAAAGTTGCCCAACATGGGTCATCAGGGAAACGAAAATCAACCTCAGCGAGCTATCACTGCACACTTTTTTTTTTTTTTAAAGATTTTTATTTATTTGAGGGCAAGAGAGCTGAGTTTGCACAGCAGAGGGAAAAGCAGACTCGCTGCTGAGCAGGGAACCTGATCCGGACTCCATCCCAGGACTCCTCCTGCCGGACCCCGGGATCATGGCCTGAGACTAGGGCAGACGCATAACCCACTGAGCCACCCAGGTGTCCCTACCACCGCACACTTTCTAGCATGGCTATTAAAACAAAGTGGACAGTGGGGTGCCTGAGTGGCTCAGGCAGTTAAGCATCCGACTCTTGGTTTCGGCTCAGGTCCTGATCTGAGGGGTGTGAGATCGAGCCCCACCTCAGGCTCTGCGCTCAGCGAAGTCTGCTTAAGGTTCTCTCTCTCTCCCTCTGCCCCTCCCTCCACTTGCACGCAAGCTCTCTCTCTCTCTGAAATGAATAAATAAATCCTTAAAAAAAAAAAAAGAATGAAGTCGTGACACATGCTCTGATATGGCTGAAGTCTGAGTGAAGGAAGGCAGACGAAGGAGCTCATGGTTCCCTTTACGTGAAATGTCCAGAACAGGCCAATCCACGGAGACAGAAAGTAGACTAGTCGTTGCCGGGGACTGGGGAAGGAAAGTGGAGGTGCTGCTAATGGGGACAAGCTTCTTTTAGGGCCATGAAAAGTTCTAATATTAGATGACGCTGTTGGCCAATAGACACAAATCACTGAATATACTGATACTAAAAAACACTGGCTTTAATGTTAAAAATGGTGAATTTTGTGGTATGTGGATTATACCGCCAAGAAGAAACGGAAAACAGGCCCGCCGTATGGTTCTGTTTCCTCATCTGCTCCGTGGAGGCAGCCTTGCCCGGGCCGGAGTTGCGGCGGCAGGGACAGTGAGGGGAGCCACCACCCAGGCCGCGTGTGGAGAGGTCTCCTCTCCCCGCGTCCAGGACGAGGGCCACCCCTGTGTGCTGGACAACTCCCCCTAGCCCCTGTGGTCCCCGAGCTTCTGGAGGCTCATTCTGTGTGTGTGGTTTTGTTTTTTTTTTTAAGATTTTATGTATTTGACAGAGAGAGACACAGCGAGAGAGGGAACACAAGCAGGGGGAGTGGGAGAGGGAGAAGCAGGCTTCCCGCCGAGCAGGGAGCCTGATGCGCTGAGCATGGAGCCCGATGCAGGGCTCGATCCCAGGACCCTGGGATCCTGACCTGAGCCGAAGGCAGATGTTTAATGACTGAGCCACTCAGGCGCCCCTCGTTCTGTTGATAGGAAGCAGAGAGGAGGCTGGTGTCTGGGCTCATGGTTCTAACGGGAAGAGCTGGGATTTGAGTCCTGGCCATGGAGCTGGGGCTGGCTGCTTCGGCCCTTGCCTCACCTCCTGGCAAGGAATGGCCAGGTCAGACCTGCCTGGAACTGGCAGGTTTGTTCTGTGGGTGCATTTCGTGGCTTTTCTGTGGGGAGTGTATGCTGTAGGTATGGAAACTTCACCTGAACACTTCCCACCCTCAGCAGGTCAGGACACAGGACTGTGAAGCCAGCCCCTTTCTGAGCAGAGGAGGGGTCTTCACCCAGCTCCTGGGCTCCTGGGCACTGGGACCCTCCTGCCAACCCCTCTCCATGGGCCAAACCCCTCCTCTGTAAACTTGGCATCTGCGGTTATTCTGAGCTTATTCTGAGAACTTCGTAGGACGCAGAGTCGTCGGAACCCACGCTGGACCCTTGGTTGGACACAGATTGAGACAGATATGTGGATTGTTTGGATAATGGTTCCTACAAACCTACTGTAAAAGGGCATTTGGGGAAAACTGAGTATTGGCCACGTGTTAGGTGACATAAGGGAATTATTATGCGTTTTGTTTGATCATGACATTCGGCCCAGTAAGAAACGTTTCATTTTTCAGTGTATGTATCGATACATTTAGGGATGAAATGGCATGGTATGTATAATTTTTTTTAAAGATTTTATTTATTTTATTAGAGAGAGAGAATGAGAGATAGAGAGCACGAGAGGGAAGAGGGTCAGAGGGAGAAGCAGACTCCCCGCCGAGCAGGGAGCCCGATGTGGGACTCGATCCCGGGACTCCAGGATCATGACCTGAGCCGAAGGCAGTCACTTAACAACTGAGCCACCCAGGTGCCCATGGTATGTATAATTAACCTTCAAAAATTTCAGGAAAAATTGAACCAAATGTGCCAAAGTGTTCATCGTTCATGGTTTTGGATATACGGTTACTGTATTATTCTTAATAAATAAATACATAATAACATTTTTTTAAACAAGTTATCATTTAGGGCCACCTGGGTGGCTCAGCCAAAGGTCGGCCTTCGGCTCAGGTTGTAATCCCAGGGTCCTGGGATAGAGCCCTGCATCAGGCTGCCTGCTTCTCCCTCTGCCTCTCCCCCCTGCTTGTGCTCGCTCTCTCTCGCTCACTCTCTCTAGCTTGCTCTCTCCCAAATGAATAAAATCTTTAAAAAAAAAAGTTATCACTTACAAGAGCACCAAAACCTGCTGGTCCAGCTGATAGGCCCTCCCCCCCATCCCCTCCAACCACTGTCTCTCTGTGTGTCTGTCTCTCCTTCTCTCCCCCATGTGGCCTTCCTCCCACGACTCTTCCCCCGCTCTGCCTTCTTCAGGCTTGGGCCCAGAAGTGCCTCACCCCTTCTGATTAAAGCCACTCCCAGGGCCAGCCCAGACTCTGGGGAAACCTGCACAGGTGGAGACATCCACCAGAGGCCAGAGGGGACTCACGAGCAGAGCTGGACTCAGACTGAGGCAGCAAGCGTTGAGGACCACAGTCCCCTTCTAAAAGCCAGTGCCTCTGTTGGTGTGGGGCCTGCGAGCCTGAATCTGCCCCACCCAGCATACGAATGGCCCCAGGCAACTCACACAGCCTGTTTCCCCACCTGTCACAGTGCAAGATACAGCTAATACTGACCGGGCGGGAAGAGGGCTGAGGTGTAATTTGCAAAGCGATTAATATATGACAAATACTAGCATTTGTAGAGTGATGTATAATGTTTGTGAAGAGACTGATGTGAGGTGAGGGTTGAATAAGGGGCTTCTTGCTCCTTCCTCTTCCTGCCCTCTCACTCAACCCCTCTGTTGGGATCTCAGGATCCTACAGCCCCAGGAACCTGCCTGGCAGCCTTGACAGTTCTCTCTGGACGTTGGAGAAACCCTCTTTGGCTCTGGGCCTTCAGCATGGAGTGTCCCCCAGCAGGGCAGGACCCCCAAATGTTGCCCAGCGAGGCTCCTCCCTCTGGGCTCCACGAAGCCCTGCCCTCAGCCAGGCAGCCAGGCAGCCGTGGAGAATCTGGAAGGGAAGCAGGTCGTGCTGACAGCCTCTGGCAAGCCACCTACTGCAAAGGGAATTTACAGTGGGCCAGGAGCACCTGCTGTCTAGGGCAGCTTAGCATCTCTGGATCCGAGCGGACCTGAGCACCCTCTTCAAGAGAATGGCTGGCTTGTCCTGAGGCCACCAGCGCCGGAGACAGATGCTGGAGCGGGCTATGTGGGGGCATCCAGGGGCCTCCAGGCTGGGCTCTGCACAGGAGGAGGTGACTCCACCAAACCCCCTGGAGAGGGAAGTCGACAGTGACCAGGGGGAAGCCTCAGGAGCTGTGAGCCCTTCAAGGGGTGGACACCTGCCAACTTCCCTCCACATCGACAGGGCACAACCAGGCAAGGATGCCACCCAAATTTAGCATGCCCCAGGAGCAAGGGAGCAGCTTTGAAAGCCAAGGGTCACCTATGGAGTGAGGAGAGTGAGTGGGGGTGCTAGGATGGGGCAGGGGGCAGGGCTGGGGCACTGCGGGGCTGCGGGGCAGAGGGTCTGGGGAGGGACGCTGCTGGCGAGAGGAAGTGGAGCTGTGTCCACTCTGGCCTTCCTTTGGTTGGCTTCTGAGAGCCCCCAGACACAAGGTCCTGTCCCAGACTGTGGGAGGTCCTGGCTCAGGAGTCGGAGAAGTAGGGTTCCTGGGGCCTGGGATGCCCACCCCCAGCAAGGACACAGCCAGCAGCTGGGACAGTGTCTGCCCCAGTGTGTGCTCAGCCAGAGTCCTGCCCGAGGGTGGCCCTGGGACCCCAAGCTTCCCCAATGGCCATTCCCCTCCCCTAAGGCAAGGAGCACCCTTGGCAAGGCAAGGAGCCTTAGGGGGGGGAAATAGGCGGGGGGGGGGGGGGCAGGGGGGAGACCTCAGCGTGGGAGGAACAGCCTGGGCCATAAAGGGCACCGTTTCCTCTCGGACCGTGGACTCCACAGCCAGCGGGTGCATAGGCTGGGGCCCCAGGGGAATGCAGTCTTGCTGCCCCACCAGACTGGGCCCCCAGGCCTCCTCCTCCTCCGGTCCGGGTGACCCCACAGGGGTCAGCAGAGGACGCGGGGGTGACATTTGCCAGGTTGCTGGTCGCTGTGCGGATGTCCACCCACAGACACAAGTCTCGCAGGGCACAGACACAGAGCCTTTTATTGCACAGCGGACCGGTGTCCGGCGCGGGGCTGGCGTGGAGGGAGGCCCGGGTGCGGCGGGACAGGTCAGCGGCTCGGCCAGAGGAGCGTGAAGGCACCGCGGCTGCAGCGGAAGTCCGGCTCTGGCTGCTCGGGCTTGGGCTCCACGGAGACGAGGCGCCGGGCCCCGCGCTGGCTCAGGGGGATGCAGTCCGAGACGCGGACCTCCAGCGCCCTTCCCTGCCTGAAGCGGGGGCGGGAGGGAGGTCAGGGGGGCGGGGCCGGGTGGGCAGGGAGGGAGGGAGGCAGATCAGGGGGCGTGGTGTGGCGTCAGGGGCGGGGCGAGACGTCAAGGGCGGGGCAGAAGGACGGTCAGGGGGCGGGGCGAGCCGGGAGGGCGGTCAGGGGCGGGGCGAGCCGGGGCGAGGCGGGGCCGGATGAGGCAGGGAGGGCGGGCGGTCAGGGGCGGGACGAGCTTCTCGGAACAGCCGGTCCCCCTCTGCGCGCGCGGACTCACCCCTGGCAGTACGCGGCCAGCACGCCCACCAGCTCCCCCACGCGGTTGTCCAGCGGCGGCCGGGAGCGGTGCAGACACACCACCAGGTCGTCCTGGCCCCGCGCGTGCAGCACCACCAGCTGGTCCCGCCCGCTGGTCACACTCAGCCCGGTCACCTGCGCGTTCGGGGCCGGGGTCAGGGGAGCGGCAGGCCCTCCTCCCTGCCCCCAAGATCCCTGGGCCGCGGCCCGCCACCAACAGCCTCCCGGAGCCCCCAGCCCGCCCCCTCTGGGTCCCCTTTCTCCCTCTCTAGCTCCGCCCGCAAAGGGGAGGGTTGGCCGAGACGCCGCTTGAGAGAACTTGCTCCAGGACGGGATGGAATGTTCTCGATCGGCGCCTCTAATCCGGCGCCACCCTCCCCTGTGGCTCTCGAGTTCCTCTTGAGTGTGCTGCTGCGGCCGGGGCGCTGAGCCGTCTGGTTTCCCTCCATTACATCAAGCGGCCACCCGGCGTGGCGGCGCACCAGATGGGCCCCCCACTCGGTTACAGGGACCCCAGGGCGAGAGCGCTGCGCACTGCAACCTGTCCCGCGGTCGGGCCGGACACCCCCAGGCCGCCCTGTATGTGGGGAAGAGGGGCCCGTGGTTCGGCCCCCTGCCCCCCCTGAGCAACATAAAGGCCCCACCATCCTGAGCTGATGCTGAGTTCTAGAAAGCTCGGGCCTTCCCAGGTAGGCGCGAGTGGAGGGGCCCTGCAGACGCCCTCACCTCCCCTGTCCCCCCGGGGCTCACCGCTTCCAGGGGCACCGCCCGCATCACCCGGTACTGCCGGCCGGGGTCCAGCTTGTAGACGTGCCGGTCAGTGAGCAGGAGCGCCCGGTCCCGGCTCTTGTTGAAGCGATTTACCTGCGGGACAGGCGATTTCGGGATCACCTGTCTGGCCCCAGGGCCTCCTCTCCCTGGACCCCTTTTCTCACGGACTGAGTTGGATCTGACCACTTCGGAAACCTCTGCCTTGGACCTGGGCTGTCGCTCCTCCCCTGGTCCCACGCCTTACCTTCCGGACGTGGCTGGAGAACAGCACGGCCCCAAAGCTGTCCTTCTCACGGAGTGCCTTCAGTCGTTCAGAGAACAGGCCCGAGGCTGTGGGGTTGTCCATGGCCTGAGGACGGATGGGGGCTGCTTGACCACGCTGGACCAACAGCGAGTGTGGTGAATGGGCATCCCTGTCCTTCACCTCCCGAGCCAAGCCGAGTCAGGCCTTGAGCCAGCCTCCCTGGGTTGTCTGAGGGCCCCGTGCCCAGACCCCTGCAGCCCTAGGTTCTGGTCATCCCTGAGCCCTCCATAGCTGCCCACCGGCCCAGAAGCTGAGAAGGCAGGGTCCCGGGTGCCAGGGAAAACCTTGGGCCCCTGAGCCTTCGTCCCCTGTAGAATGGGGCCAGGGGCACAGCTCATCATGCCCGTGTGAGGGCCAGGGTGAGCCAGGGCATGGGTGCGGGGGTGGGCGCAGAAGAGAAGGTGTTCAGTAAAGCCCAGAGGCCAGAGGCAAGGGCAGAGGGGCATGGCCCACAGGCCGGACAGACAGCCAGGCCCTGGGAGAGGACATGTGGCGTGGACACCAGCAAGCTCTCAGCCCTGAGCCCCTCCTTGGTGCCCAGTTTTTACGGCCCCAACACTCACAGAGGACAAGTAGTCCCTGACCCAGGCCCGCCGGCAGCCCCAGTCCTGCCGTAGCTCCTGCAGGACCCCCATGGCCGCCACTTTGGCCTTGATCTGGGCCATGTCTGAAGGTGGGATGTTCTTCACCAGCTGCCGGGCCCGCCACCTAGAGGGAACCGGATGGTCAGATGGACCCCATGCAGCCCTCACCTTCCCCACCCCGGTCCTGCCCCTTCACATCCATGCGCTCTTCTCGCTCCCTTTTCCCCGCGGAGAAGGCCAACCCTCTCAGCCTGGCACTGGCCATCCTGATTTCGGCCTCCCTGGTCTCCGCAGGGGCCCCTCCCACTCTGAGGACAGTACGGCCTCCTCCTGGAGAACTACTCAGCCTTCAAAGCGCTGCCCAAACGCATTGTTCCCCTCCATTCCCTGTCCCAGCCAGCCACGCTCCCCTGCAGGCCTCCAGCAAGGAGATATCAGCGCTCTCCAATGACGGTGGGGTGTGGGGACCCAGTTACTAGGCAGAGCCTCCTGTTTTCCTGCTTATGAAATGGGGCTTGTGGGGTGCAGATGGCCGGGAGCAGGTGTTCAGTGGGCGCTAGCCGAATGGGGAAAACCGAAGGGGCAGTGGCTGAGGGCTCGCACCTGCAGAACAGCGCCTGGCAGGTGTCCTGGAATGGCTGCAGCACCGCAGGGGGCGGCGGCCAGACGAGGTCTCGGCCGTAGAGGGGGGGCTGCCTCGCGGCCTGGAACCGCCGCTGCAGCTCTGCCAGGTGAGCGCGCACCTTGTGCCTCCGGAACCAGCGCATGATGGTGTAGATGGCCCGCAGTCGCCGGCAGCGCCGCCTGGCCAGCGTGCCGCGCCAGGCCTGGGGGGCCAGCCGGGCTTCCGTCAGTCCCGGCCAGGCCACGCCTCCCCCACCCTCAGCCCAGCGCTGCGCCAGGCTGACCTGCCCCTGACTCCTGGGGGCCACCCCCACCTGGCTGCAGGTTGCTTCCCAGGTGGGCACAGGGCCCTGCTGCAGCCTCTGCCTGGCTCAGGGGAGAGCTGCTCTCCCCACCCCATGTCTTTCCACCTGGCACCTGCAGATGGGGGTGCTTTCCCCTCCACCAGGGGTAGCTGCCAACTGTCCACCTGGAACCCGAGCTGGCCCAGGTCTGACCTCCAACTCGTAGATGCCCCGACATGGAGGAGCACCCCAAGAATGCAACCATTAAAACCCAGACCGGGAGCCCTGCACGGCAGGCAGCCCAGGGGACCCACAGATGAAAGTATACTTAAGGAACCTGACTCAGACCAAGGAGAGGACAGCAGTGTGGACAGTCCTGGAGATGGTGGGGCTGCGAGGACCCAGTGTGAGCATCTCAAGTCCCATCTCTGTGACCATGGCATGGTGTCATGTTCCTAAAACCAACCCCTCCGTGTTAGGGGAGGTAGCAAAGCTCACAGCTAAATGTAGTGTGTCGCCATGGGTGATAGTGGGACACTTGTGGAAATTCGAATACGGCCGGCATATTATTCAGATATGCAGATTATGTCTTGTGGGTGTTAGGTTTCTCATCTGCTGACCTCAGCGTGTTCAGAAAAGGGAACGTACTTGTCCTTGAGACGTGTGCTGAAATATCGAGGGGGTCCGTTACTTTAGGAAATCATATAAACATACGTATATGTGGGTGTGGGGACAGACAGACACACAGAGATGGGCTGGGGAGAGCACACAATTGTAGCAATTCAGGTGGACAGTAAATCATCATAGGCATCTTTTGACTTTTCACTAGGTTTGAAACGTTAAAAATAAAAAGGGGGAGAGAGGGAGGAATTCCTGTCCTTTGGGAATACTTGCTAAAATGACTCTAAACAAAATGATTTGACAGGGTGCCCGCAGGGCTCAGTCAGTTAAGTGTCTGACTCTCAATTTCGGCTCAGGTGATGATCTCAGGGCCATGAGAGTGAGCCCAAGTCAGTCCTCAGTGGACAGTCCACTTGGTATTCTCTCCCCCTCTCCCTCAGCCCATCCCCAGCTCACATGCTCACGGTTACCCTCTAAAATGAATAAATAAATCTTTTAAAAAATGATTTGCTTAAAAATAACTGGGATGGGCTGCAGGTGTCTGCACAAAACCACACACTGGTCACGGGGTGGCACAGCTGATGCTGGGGAGTAGGAGGGGGAATTTTCTCTAGGTCTGAAATCTTTCAGAGTCAAGAGAAGAAAAGAAGGGAAAAGATAAGGAAGGGGGATGCCTGGGGGGCTCAGTTGGTTAAGCGTCTGCCTTTGGCTCGGGTTATGATCTTGGGGTCCTGGGATTGAGCCGCACATCAGGCTCCCTGCTCAGTGGGGAGCCTGCTTCTCCCTCTCCCTCTGCCACTCCCCGTGTGTGTTCTCTCAAACAAACAAAATCTTAGAAAGAAAAGAAAGAAAAAGAAAGAAAGAAAGAAAGAAAGAAAGAAAGAAAGAAAGAAAGAAAGAAAGAAAGAAAGAAAGAAAGAAAAAGGAAGGAAGGAAGGAAGGAAGGAAGGAGAGAAAAGAAAAAAGAAAAGAAGGAAAAGGAAGGAAGCCAGATCCTTGAAAATCATATTTTGAGCACCTGGATCCACCTGGGCCTGAAGCTGATGACCATGGGACTGAGGTAAACTAACCACATCTACACCTTTTGCTTAAGTCAATTTCAGTCCTGGTCTGTCTCCTGTTAGAGGAGATTCCTGTGGTGCCTGGAGGGGTGCCTGTGGGCCTGGTCGGTGCATGCACACCCCCCCCCCCCCCGGGGGTGCCTAACCCATCCCCCCCCCCCCCCCCCCCCCCCCCCCCCAGGGCCACAGCCATCCCCCCACGCCTTCAGGTGCACACCCATCCTTCCCATCCCCCCACCCAATGCACAATCCTCCCTCCTCTCCCTCCCCTCCGCCCCCCAGGGT